CCTAAACCCTAAAACCCTAAATTGGGGTCCGGCTCCTAGGCTTCGCGCAGCTCAGCGACGTCTTTTTCGAACCTGGGACCCTGCAGTCCAGACCCCAAATCTTGACGTAATGTAGGGTTTAGGGTTTAGGGAATTTAGGGGTCTAATGTAGGGGCCTAAACAATTAGAATATAGGGTTCCTTTAAAGGGCTCTCAAAAGGGTCTATAAGGTTACAAAAAGGGCTGCCATAAGGGTTTAGGAATGTAGGTGCCTAAATAATTACCTATATTATTTCGGGGGTTCCTTTTTCTAATTGGACTATAATGGGCCCCAAAACCCTCGTCTAATTATTAAGGCCCCGATATTAGTCCTGAATCAAAAGCCACACGCCCAAATTCAAGACCTCAAGACGCCCCAAAACAAGTCTTGCACCTGCAAGCCCTCTTCAGATTCACGACGATTCACACCATCATTGTCTCAAGCGAGTCTTGCAGTAGGTTTGCACAACAAAGGCATTAGGAGAAGGTCTGCCGTATAGTTTGAGTCCATGATGTCTTGCTTAGTGCCTGAGAAGAAGGCGATGGCGACCAAGATCCCACTGACGGTTACCGTCCAACATGTCTGCTCCTGCTTGAGCTTCTCGGGAGCGCAGGGCTTGCTGAGATCAAAACTCTTCGGAGGTTTCGAGATGTTTTGGAATCAAGAGTCTGGGGATTTCGTAGCTCAGCTTGTGAATTTAGGTTTCTAAAAGGCCTATCTGAGGTTTTCAGAGAAGTCCTCCCACTGCACCAACCTTTAGTAGCACCTTCCTTAATCGCAAGCAGAAGACATGAACATCATATTCTCGCAGTACGGTGTAAGTGCAAGGTATCTGATTTCGCCACAGCAGTCCTTCCTCTTTGAACCAACTGAACGAACAACTGTCTCACCGAAGGTCACATCATGACGTTATAGTAAAGGTACATAGCGGCCAACAAGTCCAGCAATTTTCATCTGTGCAAATTGTCGCCAAGCACCATAGCTGTGAAGTTACACACAAGTACAAAGATGCTGTGTAGTACAGCAGAGGGCTGCCAGCAAATCCTGCATTATTCTCCCTCGCCCGGCAACAACCCGCATGAGTAGTTAGAGTAGACTGCGAGGGGATCCTTGATGATGTCAACGTTTTGCTGGAGGGTCAGCCTCTCGACTTTGTTCTCCCCGAATCCTTGGCGCATGTGCAGGTTGAACCGTTGGAGATTTCCCTTGTGTTCAGGGCGCTTCGGAATCGATAAGCCCAGGGTTTCGACAGCTTGTCCTGACAAAGGCTTCGGAAGCTTCGCTGATTGGCGACGTGTGCTGCTAAGCCACGTCCAAGGCTTCGGGGTCTACGCCAAGGAACGTGAAAAAATGGACTGGCGTGTAAAGCCTCAAGCTCTTGTTGTCTGTCTACGGGTCTTAGCGGCTGAAGCGCTGCATTGAAGAGATGTAGCTCTCAACCACTAATGTAGGGTCCTTAGTAATTAGAACAGGGTTTTGGGGTAATGGTGCGGGATCCGAAGGCGAAACTTGTCAGCAACGGCCTCATCATGTTGAATTTCCTTTCTGGAATCCTTTCCTTTCTTGCGGGCTCTGAACCCGAGATCCGTAACCCCAGCGGCTCCAAAGCTCGTGACCACAACCGATAACTTCCCAAAACCCAAAACCCTCAAGAAAAAGGAACCCTATATTCTAACTATTTAGGCCCCTACATTATATGATTCTAAACCCAAAACCCTAAACCCAAAACCCTAAACCCTCAAGAAAAAGGATTGGATGCAGTAACCGGCTGCTTGCCATGTCACGGCTCAGCACGAAGAGGCTGTAGTCCTTCAGATTCACGGGTCTAGGGGTTAGGGCTTCAGGGTTCTAGGGTTTAGGGTTTAAGGGTTTAGGGTTTAGGCGGCTTCCCTCTGTCTTCTTGTGGCTTTAGATCGTGCATTACATGCTTCCTCATGATCCGATAGCCCCGTGGCCTTGCTTCGGCCTGCTTCTTTACCATACTTTCCTGTAATAAGGTCCCCTTGAAGGGTACTATAGAGTACTACAGTATCTTAGGGTCTTTCATACTTTCCTGGTGGTTGACAGGTTTGAGATTTGCCAAATACCGGCATTGCACAGCTTTCCCGTGCAGGGCCGAGCTGGACTCGCATGGTGGAAACATCTGAGACCGGGAAACCAAGCTTCGCCCGCAGATCAGCGCTTTGCGTCTGGAAGCATGCCCCGTTTCTTGACTTAGGTATATGGGCATGGTGTCTCTTGGGAAGAGCACTGAAAACGGCGAGGATTGCACACACACGCACGCACATAAGCATGCACGCAGCCGGGCGGGGTCGTAGAGTATCTGCTCTCCAGAGCTGAAAACAAAAGCCGCAGCTACGGGTTCGATACGGAAGATCAGATCCTTACGTTTCAAGACCACTCCAATCACATCCGAAGTCCCCTATTTTCCGCGGCCAGGAGCCGGGGACGGCTGGAATTAAGGCTTCGGAGTAGCGTTAGGAGAAAAGGATGCTTCTGGATAAGGATAACCTCCTGATGTGTATCTTGAGCTTTACACTCGACAGCTTACTCAATCGCAGCTCTCAAACCCGGAAGTCGTCGATTTTAGGGAATGAAGAACGAAGAAACTCTCGCCACAAGGAACATCTAGAAATTCAATTGCCCAGTGTCCAGGGAGAGGGCCAAGATGACCGATCCCATTGCTGCAATCCCATCGGGTGGGACCTGCGCGCTCGCCAGGGGTTCGAAAGCCCCCAAAGAAACAGTTTGATCCCAAGATGAGCGATGGGTTCGGATGTACAAAGAAAATCGTGGAATCCAGAGGAGCTGCCGCGTGGTCCATCTTTCCGCGGGGTAAAAGCTTCAGATATCAGGATCCGGTAAGGTGTATTGTCAGGGACCGTCCATCTTGAGGCGGGTCTAAGCTTCAGATATCAGGATCCGGCAAGGTGTATTGTCTGTCTGGTGCTTAGTAGGGAATGGGGGAATGGATCTCTCTATGATAGTGCCTTAAGGTCCCTTATAGTAGTCCCCATAACCCATTCCCCCATTCCCTACTAAGCACCAGACAGACTTTGCGAGCAAGCAATCCCGACCACGGGAGTCGCTTATCCACGTATTCTTTTGGGGGTTTCCGAGAATTAGGGTATAGGGTTTAGGGTTTAGGGTTGGGTCCTTGTAATAAGGATCCTACCGGGACCAATTCAAACATCAACGGGCCTGGCGCTACCCTAAAGCCTAGACTTCGAGAGGAGCTTCTAATGCTCCGTCTAAGAACAGGGGCCTTAATAATATTACTAATAATAATAATACTAATAATAATTATAGGGTCTTGGGGCCCATTATACTCTCACTAGAATCAGGAACCCCCCAAAATCATGTTGGCAATTATTTGGGCCGCTACATTACATGGCTCTTGATGCTCCAAAAGGATCCTATGCATCCGGTCAGGGGCTCCATCTTCAAGATTGCTGGCAAAAGGGCTGTAAGAATCAGGACAGAGGATCTCCTCACGATGCCTACTATACTTCCAACATGCTCCTCCACGGTCGTCGGCACACTTGATAAGGGTAACCTATTCGAGCAAAGGATCTACATTCTTCTGCAGATGGTAGCAACATCTACTTATGAGGAGCAAGCATCCGAAGTTTCTAATTATAGAAGGCCCTTTGCATATAAGGCTTAGAGCAGGCCCCATCCGGTTCCCAGAGACTCCAATACCCCTCAATTAAGGAATATACCTTAAATTATACTAGGATCCCTAATATGATTTAAGGTATGTTCCTTAATTAAGGGGTATTGGAGTCTCAAGGTTGGAGACTCTCTTCTCCCACGACTCGCACACAGATGATCCTTTCCTCCGCACGCTTGCAGTCTGCCTTCGAAGCCGTGGCCCGGGTAGTTCTCTAAATTAAGGTCCCTTGTTAGGCTCCCAAACTAGTACGGCACCCTGATAAGAAAGGACCCTAATAACGGGACCTTCATTTCGAGAACTAACCCCCACCCCCCGCCCTGCCTCGATGTAATCCATCCATGGTAGGAGCATCAATGCTGACACCACGAAGGCCACGCCGACCTTGCGAGACGGGGGGCCTGAGCTTCTTTGGGAATCCGGGAAGACCCGAAGCCATGGGCTCTGTACGCAGCCTGACACCCTTACATTATGTAATCTGGTGGTTCTTCGGTGGGGGGGGGGGTGTCTTAAGTTCCTATGATACATAAACCCCTGAAGAAGCTTGCATGCAGGCTCCGGGGTTTGGGAAATGAGCCTGCGCCCAAAATCCAACACTTCTGCCCAACGATACGGCCATGTGCAGGCCTTAGAATTGCTGCAAGTACAATTCTAACGATTGCGATGAAAACGGCGCTCATGACATGGATGACTTCATGATGAAACTTGTTGATGTGATGGTGATGCTGCGGCTCATGCCAATGACCCAGGTGGTGGTGAGGAGACGATAACGGCTTCGTTAATTTTTAAAAAGACGAAGGCGACATTAACTCCACGCTGGTGGTTAATTCCCAGCCGTTTTGCCTCGGAGCGGTGATCATACTGACATACCGCTTTGACTGCTTTGACGAACAAAGTACTTCTTGAGAAATTCTGGGTTTGGCTATGCTGCCTCAGGCTCAGTTGGCGGCACTTCTGCAAGGAAAGAAATCTTTCAAAGGCCCCGCCGGGAAAGCAACCGACCCCCAGGTTCAGCCCGGGGTTCCCGAAAGGTTTATGAAGACTTTCGCTTGTAGGGTTTAGGGTTTAGGGGTTTAGGGTTTAGGCTTTTCTGCAACAGGCCCAGATCAATGACATGCAAGGTGCTGTTACCAGCGGCAGCACCAGCAGGCGCTGATACCTGCACCCTAAACCCTAAACCCTAAGCCCAGCCCTCCAAAAACGCTGCCCGCGACAACAACAAACCGGAGGATCGAGACCTCACTTAGGGTTCAGGCTTTAGGGTTTAGGGCTTTGGGTTTAGGGTTTAGGGCTTAGGGTTCAGGGTTTAGGGCTTAGGTTTTAGGGCTTGGGGTTTAGGGCTTAGGGTTTAGGTTGCTGCAATTTCGATTTTCAAGCTGCCAGAACACACAACTTGTCTGTGGAGCCAGGCCCGGCAGACTAGCTTTCCGACCACACGACCATCCATTTCAGCTACACCATGGAATAGGGGTTGAGGGTTTACGTTGGAGTTAGCATCTCGATACCAGCAAGCAATGCTCGAGGCGATTGTGTTTCTGCTGCCGCTCCTGCTGCTGCTACTCCTGCTGATACTCCTGCCACTCCTACCTCCGCCTCGTACTCCTCTACTCCTCCTCCGTCTACTACTGCTACTACTACTACTACTACTACTACTACTGCTACTACTACTACTACTACTACTACTACCCCTACCACTACTGCTGCTACTTCTGCTTCTGCAACGACCATGGCCACGGCTACTACCAAACACTCTCCTGACAATGACATTTGCTGCTTATAAAACTTTGGTAGCGTCTGAATCGGCGTTCAAGTATCCTGATGACGTCTTGTGGCAGCTACTGGTATGCCTGATGAGGAGGCCCATGATGAACAACGCGATTGGCAGTGAAATCACTTCCTCGGCTTCGGAGCTTTGCTTTGTTGGAGACCTCTGAGCTTCGGACAGACAGACAGAGAGGCACAGAGGCAACACAAACAACCGGACATGCACACACTTGGAGGATCATGGGACTTAGTAAGTAAGGTTATAAGTCCCTTAATTGGGGTTATAAGTGTAGGTACCCTAATTATAACCCTACTTACTAAGTCCCATGACCCTTTAAGTACACACACACACAGACAGAAACACACACCACTGGATTGCAGCTGCTAGCTCCGCCAGAGAAGGAAACTTTGATGGCCAGACTTTGGGCGAGGCTCTGCATAGAACAAGCTTCGGAAGCTCATGTCCTGGAAGAGATTCGAAACTGGAGCTGGGTGGGTTCTGCTGCAGAGGGAGAGGGGTCTCCGGCACCGATATTTCAAGGGACTCCTGGGTTTCAACACTGACTCAGATGAGGCTTCTGCGCTAAGCTAAATTGGCTGTGCGGATTAGAAAAAAACCTGCGGCTTCAGGTTTCAGGGTCCCCAGAAATTCCGAAACTCGATATGCGCCATCCAACGGGTCTCGCGCAGGTTAAGCCTACCCGAGCCTCTTGACCTGGTTTCATTGCATTCCCTGTTCTCAGAACCTTGAGCCCGCTCGAGCATCCTGCGCAAGAAACTGCGCAGCTGATGCTGATGATGCTCGGGTTGAATGGCCCGCTCGAACATCTTGCGCAAGAAACTGCGCAGCTGATGCTGATGATGCTCGGGTTGAGTGGCCCGCTCGAGCATCCTGCGCAAGACACTGCGCAGCTGATGCTGATGATGCTCGGGTTGAGTGGCCCGCTCGAGCATCCTGCGCAAGACACTGCGCAGCTGATGCTGGTGATGCTCGGCTTGAGCGGCCCGCTCGAGCATCCTGCGCAAGAAAGTGCGCTGATGATGCTCGGGTTGAGTGGCCCGCTCGAGCATCCTGCGCAAGAAAGTGCGAAGCTGATGCTGATGATGCTCGGGTTGTGCGGACCCACTCGAGCATCCTGCACAAGAAACTGCGCAGCTGATGCTGATGATGCTCGGGTTGAGTGGCCCGCTCGACGAGCATCCTGCACAAGAAACTGCGCAGCTGATGCGGATGATGCTCGGGTTGGCCCGTTCGACGAGCATCTTGCGCAAGAAAGTGCGCAGCTGATGCTGATGATGCTCGGGTGGAGCGGCCTGCGTGAGCATCTTGCACAAGAAACTGCGCGGCTGATGCTGATGATGCTCGGGTTGAGCGGCCCGCTCGAGCATCCTGCACAAGAAACGGCGCAGCTGATGCTGATGATGCTCGGGTTGAGTGGCCCGCTCGAGCATCCTGCGATATCCTGCGCAAGAAAGTGCGCAGCTGATGCTGATGATGTTCGGGTTGAGCGGCCCGCTCGACGAGCATCCTGCACAAGAAACTGCGCAGCTGATGCTGATGATGCTCGGGTTGAGTGGCCCGTTCGACGAGCATCTTGCGCAAGAAAGTGCGCAGCTGATGCTGATGATGCTCGGGTGGAGCAGCCTGCGTGAGCATCTTGCACAAGAAACTGCGCAGCTGATGCTAATGATGCTCGGGTTGAGCGGCCCGCTCGTGATGCTAATGATGCTCGGGTTGAGCGGCCCGCTCGAGCATCCTGCACAAGAAACTGCGCAGCTGATGTTGATGATGCTAGGGTGGAGCAGGCCACAGCTGATGCTGAGCATGCCTGCGTTGGGTGGGGCATGTGCAAGAATGTGCTCGGCTTCTGGTGATGCCCGGGTTGGGTGGCCCGGTTGTGTGGGGGTTGGGCGTCCTCACCCTTCGCAGCTGATGCTCAGCAGGATGCTCTGGGCCCAAGGCGTGGATTTGTACGAGAAATTTCTTCGGATAAACAGGCGTTTAATACGAACTGGGGGCGAACAAGAAACACTGCAATGCATGCTTGAAGCAGGGCAGCCCGGTCTTTTCCACCAAGAGCCGAACCTGAACACATAACCGTAGCTTCGGTTAAGACAGATCAACTTGGATTAAACATGAAACCGAAGCCTAAACCTAAACCCTAAACCCTAAACCCTAATCCAAAATCCTGAATCCGAAGAGGCCCTAAAATCGAATGGTGCGGTCCGTTGGGTTCATGACGCTGTGCCGGCTAGAGGAGCAGCCGCTTCCTCCGGGTGGCGCTTGACAGCATCTTGGGTGGTTTAGGGTTTAGTGTGTGTTGTTACTCTTGGATTTAGGGTCGCCCTGGCCATAACTGGAATAGAGTTTGAGAAGTTTGGGTTCCGGATGGCAGAATTGTGTGATGGGTCGGTTGAGCTCAGGATTATGACAAGAAGAAGGTGATCAAGAGTATGCTGGGCCTTCCAACCCTGCACCCTCTACCATAATCAGCTGGAACCTGCTTGAAGTTGGGAGCAATCTTTAAACTATCAGCTTCGGGTTTAACCTTGAAGCCCAGTACCCTGGCCCAAAAAAGTTTAAACTTTTCTTTTAGTAGGGGGTTTGATATACCAAAAAGTTTAAAGTTTACCTACTGGGCTCCTAAGTTAACACTCATAAAAGCGCCTGAGTCCAAAGCCGGATTAGGATTTTTACGCCCACCACTCACTCCCTCGGAATCAGTCCAAGGTCTAGTGTAGGGGCCTGAATAGTTTGAAAAGGGTTTTGGGGTTCCATATTTTTACTGTAGTATGATATACCCCAAACCCTATTCTAATGATTTCGGCCCCCGGTATTCGAGTGGATTTCCAATTGTGACTTCAGTCCTGTGCATTCTGAAACCGCAAGTTGAGGTTTTGGGACCTGAAGCATGAGGTTCTTAGGGTTTAGGGGTTTAGGGGTTCATCACAAGCATCGAGTGATACCATATAACACCCCCTCCCCTCCCCCGACAACAATCTCTTCTAATTGCTTCTAGGCTTGCCCGAATATTCAGCCCCACTCTCCCCCTCCGCCAACCGAAAAAGCGTGCAACCTGAACACACTTCCAATGACAAGCTGGACGTATGCCGGTTTCAAGTCACAAGCCCTCGGCGTGGTCTTCATCGATTGTTGGTCGTGGTCGCCGCTGCCGTAGTCACAAAAAGTAAAGATAACTAGAGTAATCGCCGTCGTAGTAGCTGTTGCAGTTGCAGTCGTGGCGGTGGTGGTGTGGGCAACCCAAAACCCTACTCCCGAAACCTTGATGAAAGAATCTGTCGTAGGCTCATCCCACTGGCAACACCCGAAATCTTCAAGCTTCGGAGCTTCAGCCTAAATCTGTCGCCTGTCGCAATGGCTGGCATTCCAGTAATGTGCAGCTCATACCCAGGCGGTGGCGAGGAACAAAACTCCTCCAGAAGCGTGCCGGATCTGTCATGTCACGGTGGAAATGTTGGAGTTCAGCAGTTCTGCTATGGTAGCGCCGAGGTCCTACCCGGCTCAGATTGAAACGTTTTTCGATTGATACAGTAACCCTGAAGCATTCCAACTTGTAGGTTGCGTGCCTCAGCTGTCCTAAACCTTTGGTACATATCCGAAGCCCTCGCGATATCTTAGTAGTGTATGTTGTTCGTCTAGGGTTTAAAATTGCCATCGAGGGTGTCCGGCTTGTGGAACTTGCCCACCGCGCGCCGCGAGGGTAACAGTTTCAATGCCTGAACCTTGAAGCAACAATAACTTTACCTTCCCTCCGATGCGATCTGCGATTGCCTAGGGGCAGGCTTACTGTATGGCGAAGGTTTGCCTTCCTGCCGCCCGGTCCTGCAGGAACTCATTGGCCTCGGTGCTTTCTTTCAGCAAAGCGGTAGGGTTTAGGGTTTAGGGTTTAGGGTTTAGGGGGGCTTCGTCCTAAACCTGAGGCTCGGCCGTGAGTGCCCAGCACTGGGATTAGAGGCTCCAAGACCGGGGCTGCCATGTGGGAGTTTCGGAAAATAGGGGGTACCTTATTTTGGGGTCCTTAAAATGAGGATCCTACCATTTAGGGTGCTATATTAGGGTCCCCTATTTTCGGAAACCCCCATGTGAGCTCAGGGTCTTTGAAAAATGTGTACAGGGTTCTTGGCTCCGGAGGGGGGGCGGGGCCTTTCAACCCCAGGAACACGAACTCTGTGCAGCAAATCGTGGGCTTCCTCCGATGAGCCGCGGGCTCAGAGTGGCCCAGGCATGTGGCCCCAGAGGTCTGGCGCTTATGTGTGCCACACCAGGCCTGGTGCAAAACACAACCCGACTGGCCCGAAGGAATCTTAGCCGCACATGGCCATCCCCAAGACAGTGGTTGAAACCCCACACTGAAATCTCGCATGCCTGCCTGGTGGTCGTTGCTTACGGAAGGGAAGTATGCTGTTGACATCATCTACTTCGGAGTTCAGTTTGCTGTTAAGTTAGATCAGCAACAGGAGGCCTCAATGTGCATCAACCCCAATCCGGAATACCTTTGACCACCGGTTGCGTCCCAGGCTCTTTCCGGAAGTCATGGTTCTCTGGGATTTGTGTTGGCCTCAGAACCCAGCTCTCCCCCCATCTCTGGGCAGAAGGGGAGAAAGCAAAAGCGAGCGTTGGGCGGGCTGGGGGTGCGCTGATTATGTTCCAAGTATATGTAG